TATATATATATATATATATATATATATATATATATATATATATAGGGTTGGCAAAAAGTCCGGAAACGGTCAAATATCTTGAAAAGTATCAACTGTAGCGAAAAATATGTAAGTAGCAAAGTTGTAGGGCTTAATAAAATGTACCTAATAATGGCTAAAAATTTGACTTTGGGTGGAGGACGAAGGTCATACAAAGGTCAAATTGAATTTTTTAAATTGGACCTCCCACTTTTTATTAGATATTCTTGTAGCTTATTTTAAGGGCTTTTCAAAAGCCTATAATAGAGTATTTTTTTATTAGGTATATTTAGAGTTATGAGGCTTGAAAGGATTTTGGTCTTTACCTGTTTCTGTTTTGTAAAAACGTATCACTGTCTCCTGAACGGTGGATTTAGAAATAAAATTGTGATCAGGATATGCAGCATTGAATGTGTAGATTAATTACTTCTTCGTATGATCTAATATGGTCTCCAAATTTTCGATAGAGAAACAGCATTATCTTTTCCTTATCGGTTAATATTTTTAAAAAAGAAATTTGAAATTGAAGTTGGAAAAAGAAAGGGAAAAGACAAAGAGTAAGATGCGAAAGAGCACGACTTGTTTTTAAAATACAAAGATCGAGAAGCGTTATCGTGAAGCGCGGGTATGCGCGAGTTTTGACTGAGTACGTGTGATATTACGTCGTGAATAACCGCGTTTGGTGAGAGCGAATGAACAACTAAGCCGGTCATATCGTCTAGCTCGAGACACGAAAAACAAAGTTATTCTTGTTTTTCTCCTGTGTTTATGTTTTTTAGGGTCCCAGCCTAGTTGTTCATTCGCTCGCATCGAACGCGGTTATTCATTCACGACGTAATATCACATGTAGTCAGTCAAAACTCGCGCATACCCACGCTTCACGATAACGCTTTTCGATCTTTGTATTTTAAAAACGAGTCGTGCTCTCTCGCACCTTACTCTTTGTCTTTTCCCTTTCTTTTTCCAACTACAATTTCAAATTTTTTTTTAAATGTTAACCGATAAAGAAAAGATAATGCTGTTTCTTTATCGAAA